CTCAAGGACACGACAACATTATTCATCTGTTGGTCAGTCGACAAATGGTTTATCAAGTGCGCTACTGTCATTAAGGATTTGCCAATACGATACATACCTCGATACATAGGCCTCGATACGATACATACCTTGATGCAAAAGTCACGATATGATATATATCTTGATACACAGGCCACGATACGATACATAGGCCACGATACGATACATACCTTGATACAGTGATCTTTCGATTCTATACGAAATATTTCAAGTCGATTCGGTATGGTTCAATAAAAAATAAAGGTTAAATCGTGGCTGTGATGCTAAAAGTCTTTGTTAAACCACGCCTTGTGCAAAGTTCATATGAAACACACCAATTTTAATCCTCAAAACAAAGAAAATGTCAAAAGCGTTGCATAAACAAATTTCCAAGCAGCAAAACTGTAGCTCTCAACAAAATAATTTTGTCAAATATACCAAAAAATACTCTTGGTGATATATAAATTCAGCAACCCACGATATCGATACTGTACCATCACATGAAATGATACGATATATTGATATTTTGATATTTTTGCACACCTCTAACTGTCATCATATTAGTGACTAGACTAGGGGTGGGCAAACTACATTTCAATAAATAGTAAATGCTGAGGGAGTTGAAAGACAGATATTTTGTTGTAATGCTTTGTTATGATTTTCACTTATGGGATATTTCAATAACATGGGAGATGTTTTCTACATATCCCATGTTATTTTTTCTCTTATGAGGTGGATTACCAAAAAACTCTGCTCCCGTTCCAGCCCTTGCCTCAAATTTTAGAACCCTTTGTGGCCCACAAGTCAAAAAGTTTGCCCACCCTTGGACTGGACCTTGTATTTTACTGCAACTATTTACATTTTAAGTATATTAATTTTAGGTTTCTGCTGTTTGTATTAAATATTATTGGTTTAAGATCAGGTAAATGAAATGTAAAACAAAAAATGCAAGTGATTTTTTAATGGTTTCCATTTTATGCAAAATTGTTGTTATAATGTTGTTACCTTCTCAAAAACAGACCTGGAGACACTTTATTATTAGTCTGTCTACATCTCCAAAGCTCAAAATGCTCTACTCCACCTTGTGATGTCATGAAGCGGTAGTTTTTGAGTTAACAGCTCTTTTTACTTTAACATAGATCAGAAAATAATGTAATATGGGCTCTTTAAATACTCTTATAACTCTAAAAAGTTTGATATTAATCTGATTTTGAGTGCACAGTTCTCATAAGATGTTTCCAAACTTTGATGATGATTCACCCGTTTGTGTTTGAGATCCACAAATTACAAATGTTGAACCTGGTTCCTCTAACTTTCCAGATTAATCTTGTTTTTATTTTCTATTTTTTCAGCTGACAGCCGTTGTGTTTTGAGTAATGTGATGAACAATGGCCCCACTTGAAGCTGCAGTGATCAGCAGTGATGGAAGAAGTAACTTTTCTCCTGGAGGGTCCATCAAATGCTTTTCTTCATGGAGATGTTGGAATGTTTCACAGTATGGCATTAAATTTAAACCTTTCCATCTTCACAGAGACCAAACCAGACCAAGTTACAGGTCAGATCTGTGTAGATGTGACCCCAATCACAGTCAGAATGTCTGTTTTTCTAGGTATTTTTGAGCCATAAAACCACCTGTAACTGAATAAATGTAAGGTAGAGCTGTTTAAAGTCATACTGTGGAACATTCCAGGCAGAGCAATTACATCTCCACAGAAAAAAACAGGTAACGGACCCTCCACCAGAAAGCTTTGTGTACCTTTAAGTAAAAGTACAGATGTAAGAGCAAAAGAATAGTCAGGTAAAAATAAAAGTATCACATGAACAAAACTGCTTAAGTATAAGTATTAAAGTACCTGTTTAAAAATGTACTTAAAGAGTAAAAAGTAAAAGTATTTTGAGCTAATAAAGCTTCAAATGCAGTGATTTTGATAAAACATAGTGCTGATTTGACAGAAACTATTCATTTTTCTTTTTTTTTCTAGCTATTTTTCTTTGTATATTAGGCTGCGTCATTCGCCCCAATGTCAGAAATTCAACTTGTACCCAATTTTAAAATGCGACAAACCTAAATAAAAAAAAAAATCTGTGGAATATTTGCTCCATTGAGTAATATCTACTGGGTCCACCGAGCCTCTTAAGTTCCATCCTAACGGCGTCCATAAGGCTCTGGCAGAAAAATCATCTAACAAACTTACAACTATCAAATAACTTCAAAAATAATCCATTTAGGGTCATGGTGGCAATGAAAGTTGAATATAAATGTTGCTGTTGTGCATCTTTTGGTACCAATTTTATATCTCTATCTTCATAACTTTCTAAGATATAACAACTTTGTCAAGATTTTGAGTGTTTTTTTCATAATTATCCAAAATCCACAAAGTCCAAAGATAAAACGAGAGACTTAAAGTTTGTTCTTTCTGTAGTGATCATAGAGTGTATAAAAAAAAAAAGTGGAGTAAGCGAGTGTGACGTCACCCAGAGCGTTACCAGCCAGAGAGTTTCCAGAAAGGATAAGGATTCTTGTTTGGTTAAACTATGGTCTCAAACAATAATAAAAACACTTTTACTTTTCAGTTCTGTTCTCAAAAATGTAGTGGAGTAGAAAGTAAAGATACCTGCTCTCAAATGTAAAGTAAAAGTAAAAAGTATCCACTGTAAAATTGTACTAAAGTAAAGTACAGATACCTGAGATTTATATTTCAGTACACTACTTTACTACTTTTATTTTGTTACGTTCCACCATCGTAATCAGTATTTCAGTATAAAGTGAAAAAAAAAAGTATTTATTTCTTCTAAAATTTAAGCGTTTTTGTTTCATGTGGACAGACGCAAAAAATTACAGAGACATTGACCACGAATCAGGTCATTTAGATCAACAATCTGACGGTTAAACAGAAAATTCCACCATAAAATTCAGACTTCCAGCTCAGTTTTATAGAAATTCCGTTGTGAAGTCACTCGAACGCAACACAACAATAGTTTTGGTCGAAAGTGCATTGTGCAACTTTTCTGGTCAAACGGTTTTCTCCATGGAAATGTCATCGCTTTGTCTGGAATGTTTCACAGTGCAGCATTAAACCTTTTTATTTATTATGAAGACCAAATCAGACCAAGCAAAGTTACAGGTCAGATCTGTGGAAAGGCGACGCTGCTTACAGTCACAATGCTGTTTTTTTTTTAAAGCTATTAAAAAAAAAAATAGTAAAAAAAATTAAAAACATGTAATTGAATAAATGTAAAGTAGAGCTATTTAATGTCACACTGCGGAACATTCCAGGCAGAGCAATGACGTATCCATAGAAACAAGCACAAAAATTTGCGCAGAGCATCTTTAAATATTTTTCTAAACAAATATTTCTACTTCCAAACTCTCCCTCGTGGAATTGTAGCGTGTTTAATGAGTGTTGCAGTTGCGGCGTGTGTCCAGCAGAGGGCGTGTGCACGTGCCTCCTCCTCGCGCTCACAGCCCGGGGCACGCGGTTCATGTGGAGACAGGCCTCGCGCACCTCCTCTCTTTGTTTTCTTTCTTTGGGCTCAGTTCTTCCGTTCAGCACGAAACACGGATTTATTTCGTTGGCAGAGAGAAAAGAGTTCAGGATTCTTATTTTTGTTTTGTTTAAAAATGTGGAAAAATTAGAAAAATATTGTTTGGTTTGAATTAAAATATTGTTAAAAAGAATAAATACGATCATGTTGATGTGCAATTATAAAACTTGTTAGTCCTGCTCCGTCATAATAGTAGTAGTAGTAGTAGTAGGCTAGTACTAGAAGTAAGATAGTAGTTGTAATAGAAGTATTGTTTGGTCTTGTAGTAGTAGTAGTGGTGGTGCCAGTAGTTGTAGTCGTAGTAGTAGTAGAAGTGATAGTAGTAGTTGAAGTAGTAGGCTATATAGGCCTCGTACCTGTAGTAATATAATGGTAATAGTAGTTACAGTACTAAGTTTCAGTACTACTAGTAGCAGTAATAGTAATAGGCCTTGTTTGTAGTAGTAGTAGTAGTAGTAGTAGTAGCAGTGGTGGTGGTGGTAGTAGTTATAGTAGAAGTTGTAGTAGTAGTAGTAGTGGCCTTGTATTAGTAGGTAGTAGTAGTAGTAGTACTTGTAGCAGCAGCAGTAGTAGTAGTAGTAATAGTAGTATCAGGAGTAGTAGTTGTAGTAGTACTAATAGTAGTGGTAGCACTAAAAGTAATAGTAGTAGCAGTAGTAGAAATAGTACTAGTAGTAGCAGCAGCAGTAGTAGTAGTAGTAGTAGTAATAGTAGCAGCAGTTGTAGTTGTAGTAGTAGTAGTAATAATAGTAGCAGTACTGGTAGTAGTAGTAATAGCAGTAGTAGTAGTAGTAGGAGGAGTAGTAGTATCAGTAGTAGTACTAGTAGTAATAGTAGTATCAGTAGCAGTAGTAATAGTAGTAGTATCAGTAGCAGTAGTAATAGTAGTAGTATCCGTAGTAGTAGTAATAGTAGTAGTAGTTGTAGTAGTACTAGTAGTAATCGTAGTAGTAGTAGTAGTAGTAGTATAGTAGTATCAGTAGTAGTAATAGTAATAGTAGTATCAGTAGTAGTAGTAATAGTAGTATCAGTAGTAGTAGTAGTATAATAGTAGTATCAGTAGTAGTAGTTGTAGTAGTACTAGCAGTAATAGTAGTAGAAGTAGTAGTAGCAGTAATAGTAGTAATAGACCTAGGAGTGGCTGTAGACAAAGATATTTCAAGTATTTTATAAAATACAAATAACATGCCCTTAAATGTAGTGTGACTAAACCAGGTCTAAACCAGATCTAAACCAGGACTAAACCAGATCTAAACCAGGACTAAACCAGGTCTAACCCAAACCAAGAGTTAACAGAAGTCAGCACAAAAACAAGGACCACGTGCTCGTATCAGCTCAGACTCTCACCTTGGGCTCAGTGAAATCTTACGCCAGTGTTGAGCGCCATCTTGTGGATTACGAGTGAAATGACTTAAGGGAAAATGAACCGCACGTGGTCACAGAAGGAAGAATTTTTGTTTTATTTCCTGTTTTTCTCACCGCACCGTTTGAGCTGAAGACAGAACAGCCACGGCCACAAGGTTTATAAACTGAATTAAACATGTAATTAAATGAGATGTAATTATTATTTGTTTAAGAGGCCAGTTTATTACAATTTTACATTTTTGCAATAAAACATAGTCATTATAAACAATTTAAAACTAAATATATTCTGAATATACTGAATATATGATAAAAACGCACATATTTCCTTTAGTGGATACATAAATCTTATTTCTTTTTTATTTACAAATATTTAACAATATTCTGACAGAATATTTCAACATTTGCATAACATTTTTTTTTTTCTTCAATAAATTAGGAAAAAAACTCCAGGACAAGTTTTGTTTAAACCCAAACTAAATAAATAAGTAACATGTCAATGAGAACTAGAGACAAGTCAAGACTAAACCAGGACTAAAAGGGGACTAAACCAAGACTAAACTAGAACTAAACCAGGACTAGACCAGAACTAAAATAGGACTAAACCAGGACTAAACCTGAACTTAAACCAGGACTAAAAATCAGGGCTAAAACTGGACTAAATCAGGATTAAAATATGACTAAACAAAGACTAAACCAGAACTAAACCAGGACTAAAATAGGACTAAACCAGGACTTAACATTATATAAATTTGGACTTTATAACACCTGGACTAAACAGTAACACAAAATAATAAAATAAAGTTTATTTTCCTCCACTTCCACTGGAAACTCTCACTTTTACAGTTACATCCGTGAGAGAAAAAGCCGGTGAAGTGTCTTGCCTAAGGACACAAAACCCACGTTTGATCAGTCGTCTTCTTCGTCACTGTCGTCGATCAGGTGCGACTGGGCGGCGATTCTCTGGGCCACCGCCGTTACCATGGCAGCACCTTTACCGCTGCCGTCCTCCGAAACCACGAACTTGAGCGAGCACTGAGGGGCGAGCTCTTTGACCACGGACTGGAGCTTAGCGCTGAAGCTACAGAAAAACACAAGACGAAGAAATTACACACACCGACGTAATAACTCATAACTCTGTCACTGTTGCCTAGCAACCGCAATGTTAAAGGTAAATTAAAAAAGAAATTGAAATACTGGGCCCGGTCAAGCAGAAGTAAACAGCAAGGCCAAAAATTCAAGTTAATGCATCTGATATAAAAATGTATTCAACAGATACATATGTACTCTAGTTTATGAAACTGTTCACCTTTTTTCTGTACCATTTTTGGTTCTAAAGTTACATACGTTTTAACCAGACCATGTATGAAACATGGAACAAAAATTATTTCCCAAATTTCAAAGACCTGCAAATCATGTAAATAAATGGATGTATTTCATCATATCTTATGTTAGTCGATCTTTGAACTGTTGATGAAGGTATATGATTTTTCAACAAAAAAATATATTTAAAATGATAAAAATTTGCTTGGAAGGACTGACATATTTATAGAAAGAGTTTCCTTTCATTTTGAAGTAATATTAAAGTATTTGGAAGAAAAAAGTTGACAAATGATGTAAAATCACACACCTTCTACTTGCACAATTTTCCCTCCGTTACTTTTCCCTCCGTTACCATGACCTTTTTTAATAAAAAATCTCATTACTCAAAAAGTAAGAGGTTTTTCAACCTAATCTTGTACCATATGGTAGAAAACTATATGAAGCAAATATTCAAACCAGTTTGTTAAGGATATGTAAGTGAGAACCAAGAGTTATCACTGTTTGTATTTATTGTCCAAAAAGTGCTGCATATTTCATTCCCTCCGTTACCGACATGAGTTTTTAAATTTTTTGTCAACAACTTGAAAGAATATCACAGGTTTAACTTTACCTTGTTGGAGTGTTAACTCTTTCCTACATTCTGATACTTTACTTATTTCAATAGTCCCTTTGGTTTCTGAATAAGAGACATTTGAATGTCAAAAATCTGAGAACTGTAAACCCAAATCTTTTACTTTTCGTACGTCCTCAAATAACAACTGTAATGATGAAGGGATCATTTGTTTTATTTTATTTAGTGATCATAATCTTTTGGCTCATATTTATTGTTTATTGATACTCTGCAGTGACATCACGCTGGGGGAGGTCTACATGTATGTGTATTGATGAAATATTCAATGCACACACATTCACAAACACTGGCAAAAAAAAAAGTTAGGTGTTTGAATTTCAACAGAAAGATTTAATTCTGATTAAAAAATAGTTCCGCTTTAAAAAGACCATGTAAACGCTTCCTAATAAAAATGATTATTCAGAATTAAACTTTATTCTGAAGTAAGTGGGTGATTTATTCCGATTTCAAAGCCCATTTAATTTATTCCTCGATCATGTAAACCAGACATGTCAAACTCAGGCCAAATTTTGCCTGCGAGATCATATCAAATATATTTTAGAGTTGACCTGCATTATTATTCAATATTTTATTATTATTTTCTATTTTGCTTGTTCTGGATTCAGTGTTTAAGCAAAACTATGATTAAACATTTATTTAAATAAGAAAAGGTTTAACATTACATATCTCGAAAGAAGAGAAAACATGCAAACATTTTTCAGTAAATATTTAGTTTGGCCCATGACTTAGTCCCAGTTTTTACATTTTGGCCCTCTGTGAATTTGAGTTTGACACCCCTGATGTAAGCGTTTATTGTTTTTAATAATAAATAAATAATTCCGGTTGTTCACATGCTCGTTGGGTTGCGATTCTGACCTGATCCAGCTCCACCAGTCCTGGCTTCGGACTTTCATCCACGTCTCTTTGGATTTGCGAGCGGGATGCGGGAGTGGACTGAGGTAGAGTTTGTCTTCTTCCTCCTTTCTCCGACACTCTTCTCTTCTCGGATTCGTATTCATAATTCGAAATTAATTCAGATCGATTGCGGAAAAAGCTTGGATCATGTTTGTGTCCACGGCGTAACGACAAGACCGAGATGACAAAAAATCCGTTAGCAGCTGAAGTGTGTGTTTTCTTCTGGTCGATGTAAATAAGTTTGTGTCCCTGTCCAATCAGAACCCCTCCAGATGTTGAGTGGAATTAAACAAAGGCGATTTAATGTGTTTTCTACGATGGAGTATAAAATAAAATAAAAAAGCTGGTGCTACTAGAATAAAGTCGTAACATTTCGACATTAAAGTCATAATATTATGAGAATAAAGTCAAAGCCAGAAAATGTCTTAATTTTACGAGAATAAAGTCGTAATTTTACGAGAATAAAGTCGTAATTTTACGAGAATAAAGTCGAAGTTAAAATAAAGTCGTAATATTATGAGAATAAAGTTATAATATTACGAGAATGAAGTCATAATAAAATCAAAGTCAAAGTGAAAAATGCGGCAGAAGAAGAACCTTGTTTTTCAATATAAAACTAAAAATAAGAAAACAAACAACAATTTTCTTCATTATTTGCACCTCCGAACTGAACCAGGACTGAACTAGGACTGAACCAGGACTAAACCAGGACTAAACCAGGACTAAATGAGGTCCGAGACCAGACCAGGACTGAGACCAGAACTTAGACAAGAACTGAGTCAGGGACCAAGACTGAGACCGGGATCAGACAAGAACTGAAAACGGTTTAGTCCTGGTTCAGTCTTGGTTCAGTCTGTATGTGGCGCAATATTCCCGCATCGCATTTTAAAGTCACGTAAATGCCATTTCCCATTTCTGTGACTTAAACCAGGACTAAACTAGGACTAAACTGTTTTCAGTCCTGGTCTGGTCCCGGTCTCAATCCTGGTCTTTCTGGTTTGGTTCCAGACTTGATTTAGTCCTGATTCAGTCCTTGTTCAGTCGAATGAACGAATGATACACGGATTTTCTCCTTTAGAAAATGCTCCAAATTCTCCATTCTCCACTCTTCATACTTTCCGAGCAGTATTTTACTACTTTACTTTATTCTCATAAAATTACTACTTTATTCTTGTAAGTTTACGACTTTATTCTCGTAAAATTACGACTTTTTCTGGCTTCGACTTTATTCTCATAATATTACGACTTTAATGTCAAAATGTTACGACTTTATTCTCGTAGCGCCAGCATGTTTTTTTTTTTATCTGACCCTTATACTCCGTCGTAGTTTTCCATGTAAATCTCAATTCAGAATTATTATTTCTATGTAAACTCAAAGCACAATATTTTAATTCCAAACAATATAATTCAGAACAATTAATTCTGAATTAAAAAAACATCATGTAAACGTGGCGAGTGACCAGACTTGTTTATAGATAAATCAGTTCTTTCTGGTCGGATTGTGGTAAATTAAAATTTAAGATTAAATTCTAACAAAGCCTCAGACGGAGCAGTGCTTACAGTTAGCGCCACCCCGCAGAAATGAGTCGTTTCCTTACGCTGGATGTTTCCTGTAGACTGTCCCGTCCACGCCCACTGTGACGTCGAGATGGTCCAGGCCTCGGTTGGTGCGGATCTGGTTCGCGATGGCCGCTAACGCCGCCGCGCAGAGCCGAGCCGAACGGGACGAGACGGTGTCGCAAACCAAACGCACGGCTCTGAGGTCGGCGGCGCTCCACTGCAGACCCAGGTCAGACAGGATACGCTTGGTGTTGTCCTCGCCGCTGCCCTCCCTGAAAGAGACGGCCGGAGTTAGATCAAAGATGGAAATGGATTCAAGAGTCAATTCAAGAATCAAGATTTTATTGTCATTGTCACAGAAAACAACTAAGTCATGTTATAATTTACCATTTGCATTTTTTCCCCCCAATATATTAAGACAAAACTCTAGGACAAGTTTAATTTAAACCCAAAATAAATAAATAAACCATTTCTATAACAGAACTTCACAGGGACTAAATGAGAAAAACTAAACTATCTCAGTGAGAATCAGGACTAAACCAGGACTAAACCAGGACTAAACCAAGACTAAACCAGGACTAAACCAGGACTAAACCAGGACTAAACCAGGACTAAACCAAGACTAAACCAGGACTAAACCAGGACTAAACCAGGACTAAACCAAGACTAAACCAAGACTAAACCAGGACTGAACCAGAGCTAAACCAGGACTAAACCAGGACTGAACCAGAGCTAAACCAGAGCTAAACCAGGACTAAACCAGGTCTAAACCAAGACTAAACCAGGGCTAAACCAGGACTAAACCAGGGCTAAACCAAGACTAAACCAGGACTGAACCAGAGCTAAACCAGGACTAAACCAAGGACTAAAACCAGGACTAAACCAGGACTAAACCAGGAAGACTAAACCAAGACTAAACCAGGACTGAAAACCAGACTAAACCAGGACTAAACCAGAGACTAAACCAGACTAAACCAATAAACCAGACTAAACCAGGACTAAACAAGCTAAACAGGACTAAACCAAGACTAAACCAGGACTAAACCAGGACTAAACCAGGACTAAACCAGGACTAAACCAGGACTAAACCAGGACTAAACCAGGACTAAACCAAGACTAAACCAGGACTAAACCAGGACTAAACCAGGACTAAACCAAGACTAAACCAGGACTAAACCAGGACTAAACCAGACTAAACCAGGACTAAACCAGGACTAAACCAAGACTAAACCAAGGACTAAACCAGGACTAAACCAGGACTAAACCAGAGCTAAACCAGGACTAAACCAAGACTAAACCAGGACTAAACCAGGACTAAACCTAAACCAGGACTAAACCAAGACTGAACCAGGACTAAACCAGGACTAAACCAGAGCTAAACCAGGACTAAACCAAGACTAAACCAGGACTAAACCAGGTCTAAACCAAGACTAAACCAGGGCTAAACCATGACTAAACCAGGACTAAACCAGGACTAAACCAAGACTAAACCAAGACTAAACCAGGACTAAACCAGGACTAAACCAGGACTAAACCAGAGCTAAACCAGGACTAAACCAAGACTAAACCAGGACTAAACCAGGACTAAACCAGAGCTAAACCAGGACTAAACCAGACTAAACCAGACTAAACAGACTAAACCAGAGCTAAACCAGGACTAAACCAGGACTAAACCAGGTCTAAAAAGGACAGGACAGGATGTTTGGTGTTGTTCTCTCCCTCCCTGAGAGAGACGGATGGCAATGGAATCACAAGGAAGATTAAAGGTTCAGTTCAAGATTCATGAATTTATTTTTGTAGAAAACAACAAAATTATCTTTAGAGCATCAAAAACTACATGGGATTTAAACCGGGGGCAATAATATGGGATTACTTTTGTCTCATTAATATTCACAAATGCACAGAGGGTGATCTACAAGTAATCACTGGTTTGTACATGTGTTTTGATGCCCACAAACCCAAATTTCATATTTATAACTTGTATTTTGGTCTTTTGGTTCTGTAAAATTAGATTAGTGATTTCCATTTGTGGAACACCATTTACACAAATTCACAAATTTCCTCCGTATTTTTGAGACACTCTTTTTGAGAAATCCACAAACACATACACAGACATCCACTAGAGGGCAGTGTTGTTATAGGTGTTAAGTTAAGTTAGTAAGAGACTATAAGGTGTAGTTTAATAACAACACATCATAATTAATAATCAATAAGCAACTGACCTTGTAGATAATTCATTAAAGTTACATATCCTCATATACCATACATACACGTCTGTGTAATATTAATGAATTGTGAACAAGGTCAGTTCCTTTTTGATTATTAATTATGATGTGTTGTTATTAAATGATTATATTTGTTATCCAACCTCACAGTGTCTTGCTAATTTAACTTTATGTCTATAATAACACTGCCCTCTAGTGGATGTTTGTGTTTGTGAATCGGCTGTTTGTTTCCTCGGTTTGTGGATTTCTCGAGAAAAGAATCTCAAAAATATGTCATAGAGGAAATCTGTGAATTCATGTAATTGGTCCACAAATCCAAAAAATTTGCAAATCACATTTTACAAACAGAATTTTCAGTTTTACAAATGTATATATATAGATTTTTTTTGGCAAAAGAAAAAAGATACACTTATAAATACACGTCTCTTTGCAAAAACTAAAATACAAGTTACAAATATTCAGTTTGAATTTGGTCACATGTACAAACCAATGACACACTCTGCATTTGTCAGTAGTACCGTATTTTCTGCACTATTAGGCGCCCTGGATTATAAGGCGCACTGTCATTAAATGGTCTATTTGAGAACTTTTTTCACAAATAAACCGCACCGGACTTTAAACGAAACACAACAGTTGAATGGGTCAGTGGGACTTTGTTTGTTTGTTCACGGTGACTCTGGGCTTTGTTCAGTTGTGGCGTGTAGGGAGGGTGCTGTCTGGGACCGCTGGATTGTCGGCGTGTTCGCAGTGACTCAGTTATTCAGTTGTGTCTAGAAGTGGCACATTGCACTCGCTTTTTTTGGTTCGTTCCTCCGTTCTGTTCCTCGTCGGCGTGGAGTGATGAGTGTGGCTGTGGGTGTTTTTCGCTGTCTGCTCCGTGTGTGTTTGCGTGCTCTGTGGGTGGTGCGGCTTTGCAGTTTACTGAAGTTGCGCTGGGACACCCGAGTGGATACGTCTTTAGGGCATTCTGGATTGTTGGGCGTGCAGTTGTTTTTTGATGGTGTTGGAGGCTTAAGAGCGCGTCTAATAGCCCGGAAAACACGGTAATGAGACAAATTAACCCCACGGGCCACTATTCCTAGTTTTTGCTGTCTTAATTCATGAGTTAAAACAAGTATAGTAGTTCATTTAAAGTGTTTTAAAGTAATTCACCGCAATGAGTTTTTTAGTTTGGTTAAGATCAGAGCAGACGACTAGAATGACCGCTTCCCTTTAAACGTTTTGTGATGGGACAGTCGACTTTCATACACAACAACAAAAAACTAGAACACACTTCGAGTTGACCTTATCACTTGCTCTAACTCCCACACTTTCTCTCACGGGCTAAACCAGCAGCTTCTGAGCAGCAGGTGTGTCAACATCAGGCTTCTTCAACCGTGTAAACATTCAGACCGATTGTACTACAGATGTATTGTGTAGATGTAAACGTGTTTGACTCATGACATTTGTCCTCGATGGTCACGTTTTTCATGAATTGGATTTTAGAGATGAATAACTCTTATGAATTTTGTAAATGTACTTTAGAGGTTTTTGAGTATTTTTAGAAGATAATGAATTTGAAATCTTGTGTTTATGGGAATTAGAATGAATTAATTGATTGTTTTAAATGTTTAATGATTAATTGGATTGTTTTTTGTTTTTTTTAAGGAGACACTGAAATCTAGAAACCCTCAAAACCTGCTTTTACAATATATCTGTACTGTGGCAAGAAAAACAGGTACAGGCTTTTTAAACCCAGAACTAAGTCTGGACTAGACCAGGACTAATCTAGGATGTAAAACAGGACCAAAACAAGTCTAGATTAGAATTACCCCAAGAATAAATAAGTTTCAACATCCCCCTACAGATTCAACTTGGGCCAAAAAAGAAAAACTACACCAAAACTAAACTAGGACAGTGTCAAAATCCAGGATTAAATGAGAACTAAACCAGAACTAACCAGAGCCTCTTGGTAGATTTTAAAGGTTCTTCATCTACTGTCTTATATTTAGAAAAAAACGGTCTAAACCAGTATTGTATGAGAACTAAACCAGGACTAAACCAGGTCTCTGAGTACTCACTCTTCAATCTCGGAGATGAACTTTGTGAGAAAGGTGTCCGAGGTCTGCAGCTTTTCTGAGACTTTTCCATTGAACAGAATTTTGTCCTTAGTCATTTTCACCAGCAGGAGGCGCACTATCTCACCCAGGTACATGCCGCTGATCATCTTCTCAAATCTGAAAATGAAGATTTGCACTTTTTAGGACAAATCAGCGGAATAGAAAAATTACAGAAATATTACATAATTACATAAAGACACAGTGGACTTCCCCAAACCTAATTCCCTTATTCAGTGGTTCCCAAAGGACATTCTCACGCTACCACAAGTGAGTCACATGTTTGATTAATCATTTATTAGTTTGTCTACATCTCCAAAAGCTCAAAATGCTCTGTTCCACCTTGTGATGTCATGAAGCGGTAGTTTTTCATCTCCTTTTACTTTTTGTTCTGGAGAGATTTGGCAGTTCCAGGGCTGAAATTATCCAAATGATTCTAGTAAATGGGGTTTTGGAGGTTTTTTTTTCTGAAACTCAAACCTAAATATGCAGGTTTGTGTGTTAAACATGTGTGAATAAAAAAAAAAACAACACAATTCCAGGTCAGAAAATGGTGTAAAATGGGCCCTTTAAGTCATGTATAACCAAAGTGTTTCTGAGATTGACAAACAGGGACCTCACAAATCACTCATTCACACTTGTCTTGCCTTTGGACACAACAACAGCATCACTGTTGGGCGAGTTATTTCAAAACTGTAATGTGTTATTTATGACGTGTTACTGTCAATTCAAAGTGATTTGTTGCATTGCTGAATTTAAAATGTAAGGCATTACACGATTATTGCAGCACTTCAAGTTATTCTCACCAAAATAACTGTTTCTGATTTTCAAATAACAATCAGCGAGCGAAGATGCTGAACTTTTGTGCCATATACAGACTGAACCAGGACCAAACAAGGACTAATCTTGGACTAGGATTTTCAGCCTACGCGGGCACACCTGCGGGCCCGTCCCGACATTTAGAACTGTAACTTTGGCGTTCCACCGCTGCTGACATCGCGGTGATTTTAGCAAATTTGTATGAATTAAAACAAAAATCCACCACTTCAATCCAGGTTAAAAAAGCATTGTAACGTGTGTTATTGACATTTGTACCGAGTAAAATATTACCATTTTTTACCGTGTAATGCCATAACATTACTTCGTTACAGCAAAAAGCAACACATTACAGTAATTTGCTACTTTTATAACACGTTAATCCCAACACTGAACAGCATGCACTGGTCAGAGGTGAGACTGAACTAGCAACCTGAGCCATTCCTTCACTTTTGCCTTTACAGAATACTGAATACGTGCATTAAAATATATTTTGTAAAGTATTCTGATATATGGTTCAATCAGAGCACTGTTACTGAATACTTAGAACACTCTTACACGTCTTGCATTTAAATTATACCCTAAAAACACTACGCTGCACTGTTGGGCTGAACGATTTTAAGAAAAAAATGAAGTGCCATTTTTCTGGCAGATATTGTGATTTCGATTTCATCCACGCTTTTTTTTTTTCCAAATCAAGTTTCAGTGCACATGAACACAAACATCACAGAAACTTACTAGAGCCCGACCGATATGGATTTTGCTGTGGCCGATATGAAACCGATATAATGGCAGTTGGAGCTGCCGATAGCCGATATAATTGCCGATATATTTAGTGATGTAAAAATTCACTGTAAATGTTGAATTGTTTAAAAAACTTAGGTTTGGCTCTGGTGGATTTTAAATTGGGTTTATTTAGGCAACATTTATTGTTATTCTGCCTCTTTACATCATATTTACAGACAGTAGGTTGGCTTAATGGCATTTTTGCATCACATTCTAGACACTCGTGATGGGTATTCCAGTTCTTTTTAGAGAACCGGCTCTTTTGGCTCGGCTCACTAAAAGCTGCTGGTTCTTTTGGCTCCCAAGCAGCTCTTCAGATTGTTTTGTTGCAAGCAGGATTAAAGCACGTCTAAAGCAGGACTGAATCAGGACTGAACCAGGTCTAAACTAGGACTGAAAAAGGACTAAACCGGGACTTATTTATTTTATGCTAAACTACAGTCAAAAATGCTCGTTTTTTTTTTTATTTTTATTTTTTTTAATCCTACGTACACGCAAATTTCTCAAAGTTTCGTTTTCAGCCGCTGCCGCTGTCAAACCACGAATCTGCACGCGGCGTGAAGAGAAAAAAAGTGAGAGAAAGAGAAAACACGGCTCCCAATAAGGATCAGGCTCCCGTCGTTCCCTTCAAAGAGCCGGTTCTAAGAGTCATTTCGTTCGCGACGGACCCATAACTAGTAAAGAAAGTAGCGCTATTAGCCTTTAGCCGTAAATACGTGCGCGCCGCGGTAATTAATTATATGCGCAAATGTCATAATTCACACGTCTATTCACAGCTCATTTACATATCAGTGCAGGTCCAGTAGCAAATATACGGCCAATATAGTCACTTTAGAACAGACCAATAGAAAACAGTCTGTTTATGTGCGGGAGCTACAGCAGCTAACCCATAACAAATGACAAAAACTAGCTTCAGAGTCGACATATTTCCAACACTCACCGCTCACACAGGCTCCTCCTCACATCACAAATCTGCACTAATAAATGTCCTTTTAATCCAGACTCAAACCGATTGTCCGTAAAAAGAATATAATCTCAGTGTTTGGATCTGTGTCTGCAGGTGTAAACAAACACACGTGATTGACGCGACTCTGTGGTGTGTTCAGGGACAGTACGGACACACACAGACAAATGACTCCGTAGATAAATACTGATGTGGAGCCGCATATTAGGACATTTATCTGTCTGTAAATTGGATTAAATTAACAGAATGTAGAGAGTCTAAGCTTTATAACGAGGTATAACATGCCCACGTGAAATATCGGCCCCCTAGCCGATATGCCTAAAGTTGCCCATATCAGCCGATAATATCGGCCAACCGATATATCGGTCGGGCTCTAAAACTTACATCACACCAGAGTCCTGCACTGACGATTTGACGATGAACCGTGAAGTCCAATATACATAGACAATGAAGGCTCTACATCCGCTCTACAGACATTTCTTGTGCTCCGCTTTCCTTTCTTTCAGTATACATTGAGTAATAATGTGTTTAATGCAGCTTTGCCACATTTGTTTACGTTTTACAGAAACAAAACTAAATAAAAAACGACGACAAGGCAACAGCGGCAGTGTGTGCTGAGTCGACGCAAATCTATACTTCGTCCTTAAATTGGGCTTTAGGAGCACTGCAAAAAAATGCAGCTTTGACGCTCCCAAAATCGTGTTGTTTAAGATTGCGATTTTCAATCCAAAACAATAAATCATTCAGCCCTACGACATTGAATTGAAAAAGAGCTTCTTTTGTTGTTTCATTCTTTGTTCTGCAATTTTTTATCACTGATTAGAGAAATGGAAAATAAAAAAGGAGAAGGAAAAATCACACATGCCTCACCACAAGAGCTGTTTCAGATTGTTTCAAATTGTCTCACTCATTTTGTGCAGTTTGAAGTATAAATTGAGTGATCAAGCATCGCCGTGTATGCTTTGATTTTAGATAAGTAACTCTGAAAACCTCCAGATTAAAGAGCAACTGCACCAGAATACAGGTACTCTAAATTCTGAGCATCCTGAATATGTATTCTTGGTACATATATTCAGTTCCTTCCCAACACTGACTTTGTGTTTTTCTTACATGTGGACTCCGGGGTTGATGGACGAGCGATCCACTTCCCGGTCAAACTCGGTCTGAATGTCTTTCAGCGAACCGTCGTCCCCGAAGCCGCCCCACTCTGTGTTTATGCACATCCTGCCCGCCTCGCCCTCCACACGCTTCACATTACACATCTCCTCCATGTAACAGGCGTTTGTGCCCGTCCCTGCATAAAACATACACACATGTACAGGTGAAAAACACACACGCAAAACACAGACGTACAGGTGAAACATCTGTAAATGTCCACACCACAGACTGTATAAACAAGTGGAGTCATTGAGCGGTGATAGGGGCATATTTGAAGCTGAGGTCCATATTTGGATTTCCGAGTATCATTAAAAACACCAGGATCATGTACAGCACATTAATTTGAACATTTTAAGACATTAATGACTAACAGGTTAGCTCTGCTCATTTATGCAGTCTATGGTCCACACACATTACTCTCAATGTTCACAGATGCATATGTTTTGTTTGCAGTATCCATACTAGTGCAGGTATTACTGTATTTTTCGGACAATAAAGTGCACTGGATTATAAGGCGCATTAAGCAAAACAAACGGACGACACTTGAGACTGATCCTTAGCCCAGACGTCCACAATCCATTGGCAGATCATGGTGTAATTCACCTGGTGTTGCCTCCATGTCTTGGTGAATGTGTATTATAAATGTGAATGTGGGTGGATCATTTAAGTTTGTTTTTTAATTTTCTATGAGGAATTCTCCAATATACAGTTAGTAATAATGTGTTCAATGCAGCTTTGCACATTTGTTTACGTTTTACAGAAACTAAACATAAAACTACATGGCTAATTTGCATAAACTATAAGCTCTGAAAAAACAGCTCACTCCTTGTGCGCTGATGCGTCAGCTTCTGTTGGACTAAAGGACATGACTTACTTCACGAGGCTCCTGACTACGGTAGCCGTAATCCTCCAAAAATCCATTAAGTGGTGTGGCTTCATAGCTTATCAAAGTCATGCTAAAGCATTTTGACAGTTTTCTGAGCGCCGTGTACCACATAAAATCGGTTTGAGGTCAGTAAACACAGAACTAAGCACCAGAATTAAAACATGAGGTGCACCGGATTACAAGGTGCACTGTTGATTTTTGAGAAAATTTAAAATTGAATATGATTTTAAGTGTGCCTTATAGTCTGAAAAATTCGGTATGTTGATTTCTGTTAAAAACTCCTCACTGGTTTTAACAGACAAATTTTTAACACATTTTCTCTGTTTTACTTCCCTTTACTGACTGCCTGTGTGTTTTAGAATTGATTTGAAGATTTTACTGATCACTTTTAAAGCTCATTTAGGTCTTGAAGCAAGTTACATTTCAGAACTTTTAACCCTGTAAGAGCCTCCCGCAGCCGCAGAACCTCAGGCAGATCCCTGTGGCTGTTCCAAAGTCCAGGCTCCGGACGAAGGCGATTGAGCCTTTTCAGTCCGGGTGTCTCAGCTTTGGAACGACCTGCCTGAGGAGATAAGGCTCACACCATCAGTATCATCTTTTAAATCACTTCTTAAATTTGTAATCTTAATGTTTATTGGTTGGCCTTCCTTTAGCTGGTTTTAGCTTGATTTTATTCCTTAATTTTATTCTATTTTATTCATTTATTTTTTAAAGAATGAGAATATCGCACATCAGTTACTTGAGACGGTGTGTTGGAGGAGAGCGAGCAGCCCAAGAACATAGAGAAAAATCCCGCACACTGTCCTACTTGCAAAATGTGAGATTTATTAGGACATACAGTACAACATTTCGACACTAGGCCTTTCATTATTATTTTTTTATTATAATTGACTGAATTGTGTGTTTTTGTATGCTTTGTCTATGCTGTTTTTATGCTTTTTGTATTGTCCTTTGCTGTTTGTACAACGCTTTGTAAACCTCATGCTTTACAAATAAAGATTTACTATTAATATTTATTATAGTAGAGTATTTTACCTATAATCAGGCCGATTTCACAGCTTTGGTGTTTGTATCCGCAGCTCATCATCGTTCCCACGGTGTCGTTCACCATGGCGACAGAGCCAATCTCATAATCCTGACAGGACAGATTCATTTATTCAAACTCGATGTAGATCTGTTTATGACGTGAGCTCACAGACGGCACACTCACCCCTCGCCTTTTTACGGCATCTTTCAGCAGCTGCACCACGTCTTTGCCCTCCACCCCGGAGCAGTTAAAGCCTTTGGTCCAGCGGATCAGGATACTCTGCACACACAAACACCACCATATTTAACCACACATTTTAGATTCACATATTATGATCACTGTAAATGGAAAAAAATACTGGAAATATGGAGAATGTACAAATCATAAACTGTACAAAGAGGTGGACTAAGCGAGTGTGACGTCCAAAATGAGGAGCCTGGAAACGTTGTCTGTATTGAGACAACGTTTTCTCAATACAGAAGTGCCCCATGGTTTTTGTGCATTGTTCCAGATTTAATTCAGGCTCAGAGCTGGATTGTGGATGCTCCTTGTATGATGAGTGATCTGATTCTCGTGCGTATGATTCGTTAGTTACTGAGCAGATGTACGTGGTGTGTGCGTGTGTTCGTACCTTGTCGATCTCCTTCTGCTCACAGGGGAAGGAGAAGGTGAAGCCCACAGGCAGCACCTGATCTTTGAGGCCCTGATTCTCCAGGAAAGTCCCCAGACACGCCGCGATGTGGTCGAACAACTGCAACAGGTTTGAGGAGCAGAAGCTTACAATGCGAGTGAGGAACAGGACAGCGGGAGTAGTCATAGAAGTGGTACTGGTTAAGCCAAACTTATTTTAAAATAAAAATAGAGACAACGCAGACTGGTTAATTCTGAGATGAATTAAAATCCACTGGACCTTTATTCATCCTTAGATCCTCCAAAAGGACACACTACACAACCAGTCAAAAGTTTGGACACACCCACTCATTCAATATTTTTTTCTATGTTTACTACTTTCTACATTTCACACAGAAAGCATCAAATATCAAATCCTCAAACTACCTACTTTTGCTTTGTTAGAAAACATTTAGAGTTAACTTTTTTCCTTTACTAAATAATTCCATATATCTTGCTTCATATGTTTTCTGTGTATATAAAATGTAGAACGTGGTAAGAAAGAAAAAAAAACAAAAACAGTCAAGCACAAAAACGTTTGACTGGTAGTGTATATTTTATTGTGGCTTTATCAAGGTTGATTTTCCAAAACTTGCAGTAAAATGTGTTTATGGAAATATAGGCTAATTCATCTGGAAGCCTGAGGGTCACGACAAATTGGTATGAGGGCTGCATTTGGCCCCTGAGCCACAGTTTGGACAGGTCTGGGTTAAGTGTTTGTGATATCGACTGAAAACAGTGAGAGAGGTCTGTCACTAAAACAGCTCTGCAGAGGGTCTGTTGTGTTGGGGGAAGTTACTAAGCAGCAGAGGTGGGACCAAGTCGTTGTTTTGTTTTGTTTTCAAGTAAGTCTCAAGTCTTTGACCTCAAGTCCGAGTCAAGTCCCAAGTCAAATACAGGCAAGTCCAAGTCGAGTCTTGCGTCACTGACCCATAAGTCCAAGTCAAGTCCAAGTCGTCTGCTTTCATATTAAAGTCATTTCAAGTCTTTAAACCAAAGCTTAGATTTTATTTTTTAGTATTTATATAAGAGTTGTAGAAATGCAGCTTTTTCCTTTTTAAATGTTTTGACAAGATCTTAGTGTGAATCATTACGGTCAAAATAGAAAGAATTAAGATTTAAAAATGCAGTTATTTTGTCGTGTCGTCTGCACTGAATTGGAAGGATCATGTTCTATGTAGGTCCCTCTGTTTTACTGTATTGTACTGTATATTACTGTAGTACAATTGAGGATACTATATCACAGTACTTCAGTTACGCCCAAAGTAACAGAGAAGTGGAACTGAAAGTTTATTCCTGTAAAATTAAGCAATGCATGTATCAACTGTAAAGAGAAAAGTATTTTCTAAAAACATTTTTTTAGCGGAAGCATCAAGTTTCTCAAGTCACAGACCTCAAGTCCAAGTCAAGTCATGAGTCACTGAGCTTCAAGTCCAAGTCGAGTCATGAGTCACTGAGCTTCAAGTCCAAGTCGAGTCCCAGGTCTTAGTCTATTTTATCCAGTCTCTTTAATAAGTCAAGTCTCATGTCCTAAAATAGTGATTTAAGTCTGACTTGAGTCCAAGTCACGACCTGCAAATCCACACCTCTGATAGGTAGTATAAGTAGTATAAGTAGTATAAGTAGTAGTAGCAGCATTAGCAGTAACATTAGCAGTAACATTAGCAGTAGCAGTAGTAGTAGTAGTAGTAGTAGTAGTAGTAGTAGTAGTAGTAGTAGTAGTAGAATTAACATTAGTACTGGCATTAGCATTAGTGTCAGTGGTGTTACCTGTTCTCCAGTCCCTCTCATGATGTCCTGGGGGATGGCGCAGATCTCACTGTCCATCTTCAGCACGGCCTTTTCATCCTGCTTCACTCGAACATGAAGCACTCGGAAGTTTGTCCCGCCCAAGTCCAGGGCCAGGAAGTCGCCTTTTTCTGTTCGGGGTCAAAAAAAGAAGAATCGGGTTTGTACTACACTCAGGGTTCCCACTCTTTTTCACTGACAAAACTTCAAACATTTTCCATGACTTTTTCATGACCTTAAGTGAATTTTCCATGTGTAGAATTGATCAGACTTTTAGGACTAAATATAAAATGTTAACCCTTTCCACTCACCTTATGGTTTGGTATTATAGTTTTTTAACATTCAAAATACTGTCAGTGCATTTATTGTCGTCTCTTTTACACAAAAAGCCGCAGACGTTCAGAAATAATCAGAAGAGTCTAACGAGAACTTAACAGAACGATGCAGTTGCGTGAAAGAGACACTTTTCCAGGATTTCCATGACTATGGGAACCCTGTGCACTTCACAAACTTCTCAAAGCACTTTAGATTTCATAATTTCTCATTCATTCCTCATTCTCACTCTGGGGCGTTGATAAAGCTGCTTCTGTAGTTCTAGACCGGGATCATGTTCAACACTGATACAAGGCTGAAGGCGTCAAAAACAAACAAAACAATGGCCACTTGCATAAAAAAAGGGTAAAAACAACACAGAGGACTGAGGAACAGAGCAGATTTTCACAGAATCAACAATCGACGCACTAAACTATGACTTATCTCAGGTAAAATAAGTTATATATTTTGTTCTCGATGTTGAGAGACTTTTGTAGAGGAGAGTGTTACCTGTCCCGTCGGGCGTGGCTCTGACAAACGTGGGCAGCATCTTGACTGGGGCCCGGTGATGTGAGCGTCTGTCCAAACCCCTGATCATGTCCCGGGTCAAACGAGACGAAATGTCAGTCAGTGTGTCCGAAGACAGACGGAAGGACTCCAGGAAACGCTCCACCTGGACCAGAGGAAAGTTACACAGTGCACCTTTAAAGTCTGAACAGTTTGTGGATTTGAATTTCAATACATTTGTTTTTAAAAATGAATTGTCTAACTTTTCTGGTGAAGGATATGTCAAACTATTTTCTCCATGGAGATCTTTTATCTTTTTGCTTTGTCTGGAATGTTTCGCAGTATGGCATTAAACCTTTCTAACTTCATGGAGACCAAACCGGACCAAGTTACAGGTCAGACCTGTGGAGAGGCGACCCCGCTCACAGTCACAATGCCTGTTTTTCTAGAAATTTTTGAGCAATAAAACCACTTGTAACTGAATAAATTTAAGGTAGAGCTGTTTAAAGTCATATTGTAGAACATTCCAGACAGGGCAATGACGTAACCATAGAAACAAGCAGGTGACGGACCCCCAACCAAACCAAAAAGTTACACAGTGCAGCTTTGATTCAATGGATCTGAATATTAATTTAAGAGCACATAACTTATTAAAGTTTTCACAAACAGACCTGGAGTTGAGTTTTGTTTCACTCACACATGTAACTGAAAACACGCTTTTCCACCTTGTGATGTCATGTGGTGATACAGGAAGTGCTCCACTGTGTTTTTAAGATTATTATTATTTTAAATTTTTCGATTTTGTGTTTAAATCAATTATGGAAAAAATGGATAATGACCGTTTCCTGTTTTCGTGACTGTGATGTCAGACTTTTGTGCTGCATACGGACTGAAGTAGGACTGAACCAGGACTGAACCAGGACTAAAACAGGACTAAACCAGCTGTAAACCAGAATTGAACCAGGACTAAAACAGGACCGAACCTGGACTAAAACAGGCCTAAAACAGCTCTAAACCAGAATTGAACCAGGACTAAAACAGGACTAAAACAGGACTGAACCAGGACTAAAACAGGACTAAAACAAGACTGAACCAGGACTAAAACAGGACTAAACCAGGACTAAACCAGCTCTAAACCAGAATTGAACCAGGACTAAACCAGGTCTCAGTCCTGGTCTCGGTATGGTCCCAGTGTGGGCGCACGTCCGGGTCAGTCCGGACACTTTAGTCCTGGTTTAGTCCTGGTGTAGGACTGAGACACACCTTCCTTCACTAGAATCATTTGGATCATTTCAGCCCTGGATCATTTCCGATCTTTACTAAATCTTTACTAAACCAAAAGTAAAATGCATCTGTTAACTTGAAAACTACCACTTCATGACATCACAAGGTGGACCAGAGCATTTTGAGCTTTGGAAATGTAGACAAACTAATAATAAAGTGTTACTCAAGCACATGTGAATGAAACAAAACCCAACTCCAGGTCTATTTTTAAGGAGATCACATTTTACACATATCACATGTCAAAAATCTCACAAGATTCAACACATTTTATGTCAGTTACATAACGACGTATCGAGAGGAGAATAAATGTTGGTATTTATGAATGGCATGTATAAAGCATGTGGAGACAGGAGACAACAGACAGGCGTGACCAAGGACACAGGTCTGAACCCAGCCGGAGTCAAACAATCCCACTGGAAAACTACTGGGAATCAAGTACTACAAAAACCAAACCCACATATGACGCAGAATACTGTCAGAATTGAGCTTTTTTTATCGCACTATTACACGCGATGTTACTCAAGTTAGACTTTAATCTGCGCTTTATTTTTTTTTAAACACAGTTTGGAACTACAGGTGAGATGATTTGTGTTGTTACTAGAGTGACCAGACGTCCGTATTTACCCGGGACAGTCCCAGTTTTGAGCCCTGTGTCCCTTGTCCCAACATATTTATCCAAAACCAGTGATTTGTCCCGGTTTTATACAAGAAATGTGCCAGGTGTCCCTATTTTTGACCAATTTGACACCTGCCAACAGTAAAGAGGGGAATATATTGTCATTTGTTTAGGTAAACTATAGAAACCATGCTTAAAAAAAGGTCCCTCACATTATCACCCACAAGTGAGTCGAGAACGGACAATGTTACACACTTTTTTCACCATCAGAAAATCCGTGTATCATTCGTTCATTTGTTTTTCAATATAAAACCGAAAATAAGAAAATGAAAAAAACTACTATTTTCTTAATTATTTGTCTCCAAAACCAAAATTAAAAAATGATAAAAATAATTTTTCCATTTTGTGTTTAAATGAATAATGGGAAAAAAAGGATAACGTCCGTTTTCTGTTTTCATGACATAAACTGCGATGCCGGACTTTTGCGCCGCATACAGACTGAAACAGGACTAAACCAGGACTAAACCAGGACTAAAACAGGATTAAACCAGGACTAAAACAGGACTAAACCAGCTCTAAACCAGAATTGAACCAGGACTAAACAAGATCTCAGTCCTGGTCTCAGTCCCGGTCTGGTCCCGGTCTCAGTCACGGTCTCACTCCTGATCTCAGTCCTGGTCTGGTCCTGGTCTCAGTCCCGGTCTGGTCCCAATCTGGTCCCAGTTTCCTAATCACCCGACAGTCTACTAGGGTGCACGTCCGGGCCAGTCGTGTCACTCCTGAGACCGAGACCAGACCAGGACTGGGACTGAGCCCGGGACTGAAACTAGGACTGAGACTGGTTTAGACTTGGTTTAGACCTGGTTTAGTCCTATTTCAGTCCAGGTTCAGTCCAGTATCACAGTTTAAGTCACGGAAACAGGAAACAGGCGTTATCTGTTTTTTCCATTATTTATTTAAACACAAAATCGAAAAATGAAAAAACTGAATCATTATCTGTTTTTTCATTTTGGTTTTGGAGACAAAAAAAAATTTTTTTTTTTTCGTTTTCTTATTTTTGGTTTTATTTTGAAAAACGAATGAACGAATGACACATGGATTATCACAAACCCAGCGTGTCCCAGTTTTCGAATTCTGAAAATCTGGTCACCCGTGCTGTTAAACAAGACACTCTCAAATAAAATTACAGTCACAAGCAAATAAGCATTAGCCAGTAGTTTTTCAGTTACACAAACATCACAACATCACGCTGCATATGGATAGCTGCATCATAACAGCAAGTAGCAGATTTTTTTTTTTTCATTTAGATTGAATTTCATTTGGACGATTTCAACTCTGGAAATACCAGCCTCTCCTGAACTAAAGGTAAAAGGAGCTGAAGGTGGAACAGAGCATTTTGAGCTTTGGAGATGTCAACAGACTAATAATAAAGTGTTACTCAAACATGTGAATGAAACAAAAAACACAACTCCAGGTCTGATTTTGAGGAGGTAACAACAATAAAACACGACTTAAATGGGGCCGGTCAAGTGGTAACAGAGGGAAATGGGCAGATTTTTTACATTCAAATGTCTCTTATTCAGAAACTAGAGGGACTATTGAAATAAGTAAAGTATCAGAATGTAGGAAAGAGTTACACTCCAACAGGGTCAAGTTAAACCTGTGATATTCTTTCAAGTTGTTGACAAAAAATTAAAAACTCATGTCCGTAACGGAGGGAATGAAATATGCAGCACTTTTTGGACAATAAATCCAAACAGTGATAATTAGCGGTTCTCACTTACATATCCTTAACAAACTGGTTTGAATATTTGCTTCATATAGTTTTCTACCATATGGTACAAGATTAGGTTGAAAAACCTCTTACTTTTTGAGTAATGACATTTTTTATTAATAAAGGTCATGGTAACGGAGGGAAAAGTAACAGAGGGAAAAGTAACGGAGGGAAAATTGTGCAACAAGTAGAAGGTGCATGATTTTACATAATTTGTCAGCTTTTTTCTTCTGAATACTTTAATATTACTTCAAAATGAAAGGAAAATATTTCTATAAAATATGTCAGTCCTTCCAAGCAAATTTTTATCATTTAAAATAAAAAAATAAAAAATAAATAAATCATGTACCTTCATCAACAGTTCAAAGATGGAATAACACAAGATATGATGAAATACATCCATTTATTTACATGATTTGCAGGTCTTTGAAATTTGGGAAATAATTTTTGTTCCATGTTTCATACATGGTCTGTTTAAAATGTATGTAACTTTAGAACCAAAAATGATACAGAAAAAAGGTAAACAGTTTCATAAACTAGAGTACATATGTATCTGTTCAATACATTTTTATATCAGATGCATTAACTTGAATTTTTGGCCTTGCTCTTTACTTCTGCTTGATCGGGCCCAAATGCACGATTAAAACTCACAGTGTGTTGAAATGTGTCACTAAACTGCTGTAAACTTTGCAATGAACTTTATGCAATCAAGAGATCAGAAGAAACTGAGTAGAACATTAAGCAAGGATTAAGCAATAAACCCTCAACCAAAAAGGATTAAACTGTACATATTACACTATTTTCTGATCTGTTATAATGTTGTTTCTTCATCACAAACAGACCTGGAGTTTTGTTTTGTTTCATTCACACATGTTTAACACACAAATCCTGCTTAACTAACCAAAAACCTCGAAACTACAGCTTCGTGACATGATTTTTAGGGATGCAGTCTGATAATTAAAGGTTATGTTAACTCAAACATGTGTGAATGAAACAAAATATAACTCCAAATCTGTTTTTGAGGAGGTAACAGCATTCTAACAAGACTTAAAGCTCACAAGAGTCAATGTTGCGTAATATCAGACCTTTAAGCAAGAATGTAGCAACAAATCCTTGACCAAAAAGGATTTAATGGTCTGTGGTAGAGAGCTGTACTAAGAAGTCTACAGCGCACTCATTGGTATCGAATAGGGACAAACTGGGCACTGCTGCTGTAGGAGAAGTATACACGTCTTAAAGAACGTGTATTGTGCTTGTG